AGTCTCACGGTCTCTCCTGCCCGGGCTGGCTTTGAACCATGATCCTCAGATCTCAGCCTCCTGAGTAGCTAGGATTACAGGCGTGAGCCACCAGCACCCGGCTCCCACCATTCTTGATTTCTACTCATATTGTAATTTATAGTGTAGCTTCTGATTTTATGTCTTTCAAAACTTTTTTTGTATTTTGTTTTAAATGGGGAGTATTTTTTAAATATTTTTTATTTATTTATTTTATTTTTTATTTGTTTGGATCCGGTCGTCGGGCCTGAACTCGGCCTGGGCACTGTCCCTTAGTTCTTCAGCTCAAGGCTAGTGCTCTACCACTTGAGCCACAGCATCACTTCCAGCTTTTTTCTTTTTGCTTATATAGTGCTGAGGAATCGAACCCAGGGCCTCAGGCATGCAAGGCAAGTGCTCTACCACTGAGCCACCTTCCCTGCCCCGCCATTCTTGATTTCTACTCATATTGTAATTTATAGCGTAGTTTCTGATTTTATGTCTTTCAAAACTTTTTTTGTATTTTATTTTAAATGGGAAGTATTTTCATTAATGCGTTATAATGCCAAAAAACAGTATAATCCTTGACATCTCTTCCACATATTGATTTCTTAGTTAAAAGGAGTTAGTCAGTTGTAGAACTGACTTGAAATTTTAAATTTTAGAATAACTGAAGTTTTATTAACCTCATGACCTCTTAAATAGAAATAAAAATAAGCTTTGCTATTTACCTTTTAAAGTGTTCTATGTTTGGGAGGGAAGGGATGGTAGGGGAAAAATAAAGTAGGAGGTACAATGCTCAAAAGGAAATATACTTATTACCTTACTTAGTAACTGTAACCCCTCTTTACAGTATCTTTAAAATAAAAAATATATATAATAAAAAATTAGAAAAATAAATTTCAAAAATGTTAATGTTTTCTTTCCCTCCAATATAGATTTTCCCTTAAGGCTTTCTATGTCAATGTTTGCTTGTTATACATGTATATTTTTTTACTATTTAACTCATTTTCTCCTCATCTATTCTCTAGCAAACTGAAGACCAAAATGTATTTGGCTCTCCAATCCTTAGAACAAGATCTGTCTAAAATGGCAATTATGTACTGGTAAGATTGGCCAAAGAGTCAATTCTCTATGCCTCTTGGTTTTTCACCTAGGGTATCCTAATGTACATAGCTATGCTTTGGGCATATATTATATTATACATCTATATTACACATGTGTGTACCTATATTGTATATGTATAATACGTGTGCATGTGTGTGCGCACCCCATTCCTGGGGCTTGAACTCAGGAATTAGGCTCTGTCCCTGATCTTTTTGGCCCAAGGCTAGCATTCTGCTACTTGACCAATAGCTTCATTTGACTTTTTAGTAGTAATTGGAGAAAAAAGTCTTAATACTCCCTGCCTGAGCTGGTTTGGAACAGATCTCAGCCTCCTAAGTAGCTAGGATTACAGGCATACGCCACCAGTACCAGGCTTATATAATAAATCTTGAACCTTGGTTTTCTCTTCTCAGATAATTGCTTGCTATCTTATGATTGTTATTATACTAAGCTGTTAGGTGGTATTTCATAGCTATTATCTGGAAACCTCTCTGATTTGTACTCCCATGTGACATGTGGTCTAGGGCTGAAGATGTGGTTTGAGTGATAAAATGTTTACTTACTATGCATAAAAACCTGGCTCTAATTCCCAGAACTGTCAAAACAAAGTAATCTACTTTGTTTTTTCTTATTTGGTAGCTCAGGTTGGCTTTGAACTAAGGATCTCCTTGCCTCAAGCTTCCCAAAAGTATTGAGATTTTAAGTATGTGTCACCACACATACTTTTTTGCCACTTCTTTTTTTGTCAGTCCTAGGCTTGAACTCAGGGACTGGGCACTATCCCTGAGCTTCTTTGCTCGAGGCTAGCACCCTGTCACTTGAGCCAGAGCATCACTTCTGGCTTTTTCTGTTTATGGGGTACTGAGGAATCAAGCTGGGGACTTTGCTTGGTAGGCAAGCACTGTTCCACTAAGCCATATTCCCAGCCCCACACATAGTTTAGTTCTAATTCTCATTTATCATATTACATACTGATGTGTATTGGGAAATAATCTATTTGTTATATGCCTGATTATAGAACAGAGGTCATGAGAGCTGTATACTAAGACCTTCAGTGCTCAAACACAAGCAAACATACATCATTTGTCTTGTAGGAAAGCAACTAATGCTGGTCCCTTGGATAAAATTCTTCATGGAAGTGTTGGCTATCTCACTCCACGGAGTGGTGGTATGTTATCCTATTTTGGTAATTAAGAAAAATGTCTTTTTTAATTGGGAGGTGGTTATTACTTTTAACGTCACCCTGGGTGTAAAGATAGAAACTAAAAGAAAAGAGAAATTAATAGTTATTTATGTATTTGTAATTTCTAAAGTGCTCGTTCCTACCCTTCCCCATTTTTTTCAGTTGTATGAAGTAAACTGTTGCTTCTAGTATCCTGTAATATTTTGTGATATTTCATAAGTTATTTTGCAACTTGACTCCTTATATCTGTGAAACTGTTTGTATAAGTCTGTATAGAAGTGTGAATGCTTTTTATAATTTATGAATTAAGACACAGTAATAACTTTGTTTTTCATAGGTCACTTAATGAACATGAAGTACTATGCCTCTCCTTCTGACCTGCTGGATGATAAGACTGCATCTCCTATCATTTTGCATGAGAATAATGGTATGCCTTTAACAGTAAAACAACCAAAGGCTTTACCCAGTGTTTTAAAAGTATTTATATGCGTTGAATAATCAGCCTGCCTATAATTTCTGGTTGAAACTTAGTACTAAAAAAGAACCATACTTAAGTATTTTTTTATCATTAAAGGTTCTAATCCCTATAACTTCTGTTGCTTTCGCATTTTCTTTCCTATTCCCAGTTCCTCGGTCTTTGGGGATGAATGCATCAGTGACAATTGAAGGGACTTCTGCTATGTACAAACTCCCAATTGCACCATTAATTATGGGGTCACATCCAGTTGATAACAAATGGTAAGTTAAATACAATTTGTGGGTATCAAAGAAAATTTTTCTTTCTTTTTTTTTTGATGGTAATGGGGCTTGAACTCTGCCCTGGGCGCTGTCCCTGCACTCTTCAGCTCAAGGCAAGCGCTCTACCTCTTGAGCCACAGCAACATTTCTGGTTTTCTCTTGGTTTATTGGAGATAAGAGCCTCACGGACTTTCCTGCCTGGGCTGGCTTTGAACTGTGATCCTCAGATCTCAGCTTCCTTAGCAGCTAGGATTACAGGCGTGAGCCACTGGCGCCTGGCTAAAGAAAATTTTTCTACCTTTATGCCCTGAAACATATATTTTACTTAGCTCTTTTCCCACTTGAATTTCTAAAGAATTGCTTGTTCTGTCCATTAACTTCTTTTTTGTTCAGTATCTGCTAAGTGTTCCTCTTCTGATATCTGTTCATAGCAGAAATTCTTCATCATGAATAAGAATGTTGGTGTTTTTTTTTTGGGGGGGGGCGAGTGTGCCAATCAAACCCTGAGCATATGCCCTACCAATAAGCACGTTGAGCCAGGATAAATGCCTCATTAAAACTTCAGCATTAGCTAGGCACCGGTAGCTTATGCCTGTAATTCTAACTGTTCAGGCAGTTGAGATCTAAAAATTGCAGTTCAAAGCCAGCCTGGGCCTATAAGGCCATGAGACTCTTATCTCCAAAAAAAACAAGTGAAGCTGTGGTTCAAATGGTAGAGTACTAGCCTCGAGCAAAAAAGCTCAGAGAGCAAGGTGCTGGTGGCTTCACACTTGTAATCCTAGAGACTCAGGAGGCTGAGATCTGAGAATCCCAGTTTAAAGCCAGCCTAGGCAGGAAAGTCTATGCAACTCTTATCTCCAATAAACTACCAGAAAACCAGAAGTGGAGCTGTGGCTCAAAGTGGTAAAACTCTAGCTTTGAGCACAAAAGCTCATTGATAGTGCCCATTCCCTGAATTCAAGCCCCAGGACACACACACACACTGTCTCTCTCTCTCTCTCTCCTTCTCTCTCTCTTTCTCCAATTGTAGGAAAGAAATTGAAAGTGAGCTTTTCTTTTTCTTTTTAAGAAAATTTGACAGAGCTTTGGAAATGCAGAGGCATACTCTAACAGAGTATGGGTGCTCTCAAAGAAAGAGACATTGAGTTCTTTGGCATTAGGGGTATTTTTTTGATAAAGGTATTACGTTTTTATTACTTGGGCTCAATGTCTCTAAGACTGACCTGTATTTTAAATATTTGATTATCATGTTTGGGCATCCCTTTTAGGAAAGAATTCATCCTGCCACAAATGTTTATCTTTGAGATAAATGCTTTGTACCTGGAGGAGCCATTTTTCCAAGTATTTCCTTCTCCAGGATATAGGTCTTTTCTTTTCTTTATTTACTTTTTTAAAAAAATAATATTCTTCCTCAGTTTTTAGGCACACTAATTATTTGGGTCAGCAGGCAAGGTTTGATGGAAAAAACTGCTCTTGCTCTTTTCTTTTTTCTTGTGCTAATACTGCAGCTTCTGAAGGAGTGCAAGGATTAAAACAAAGAAAATAGTGCTTTTGTATTTCTAAATACAGCTTTCTAAATTCCTGGCTGCCCTTCACCATGCTTTACTTTCCCTAATCTATCTTGCCAAGAATGAGCTTTTAAGAGAGAGGGAGAGAGAAAGAGAGAGAGAGAAAGAGGTGTTTCTGTCTGTGTCTGTGTGATTCATGCATGTCTACAAATAGATGTTTAAATTCCTATTTTCATATCAACTTAAAATCTAACCCTCCCCTCCACTTTTTTTGAAGGACCCCTTCCTTCTCCTCAATCACCAGTGCCAACAGTGTTGATCTTCCTGCCTGTTTCTTCTTGAAATTTCCCCAACCAATCCCAGTATCTAGAGCATTTGTTCAGAAGCTACAGAATTGCACAGGTAAGTTTTTATTGTTGTGTTTTGGGGGGGTTTTTTTGGTCAGTCCTGAAGCTTGATCTCAGGGCCTGAGCATTGTCTCTGAGGTTCTTTTTGCTGAAGGCTAGCGCTCTACCACTTGTGCCACAGTACCACTTCCAGATTATGCAGTTTATGTGGTACTGAGGAATCAAACCCAGGGCTTCATGCATGCTAGGCAAGCACTTTACCACTAAGCTACATTCCTAGCCCAAAACATTTCAGCATCAGAATCAGATACTTACTTGCCTTAAATATGTACAGGAAACTTCATGTTCTGTACAATTTATAATATTGCAGCCTTCAAAAAAATATTGATAGGAGGCTTGGCCATCTGGCTTTTAAGTAGTAGAATGCCTGCCTAGCAAAGGGAAGGCACTAAGTTGCAGGACAAACGAGAAAGATAAAGAAAAAACTAATGGGTATAGATGGTACAGTGTTAGCAGATGCTTAGTAAATACTGTTTGAATATATGGGTGAATAAATGTAAAAAATTAGGGAAGGAAAATCAAGCTGCTATTTGTCAATTTTTTTAAATCTTAATGTGATCATTATATTTATTCCTTGTATTTCCAGGAATTCCATTGTTTGAAACTCAACCAACTTACGTACCCCTGTATGAACTGATTACCCAATTTGAGTTGTCGAAGGATCCAGATCCCATACCTTTGAATCACAATATGCGGTTTTATGCTGTAAGTAGGCCCTTTGTAATTAGACTGTTGTAGGTTATATGTGGGCTTAAGATGAAAATCTCCCTTTATAGCATTATTGATGTCTGATAACATCTTTTGGACTGGGAAGACATTAGTAAAAACATGAAAATTTCTGAAGAAAAAGGAAGAGATTTTGAATAGATATATATTTATGTATATACATATATATTCTTTAAAATATCTGTTAAGAATTGGGTGTGGTCCAGAAAACCAGAAGTGGCGCTGTAGCTCAAGTGGTAGAGCGCTCGCCTTGAGCTGAAGAGCTGAAGGACAGTGCCCAGGCCCAGAGTTCAAGCCCCACCACCGACAAAAAAAAAAAAAAAGAATTGGGTGTGGTGATACACATTAAACAGAAAAGAGGCGGAGGCAGGAAGATTGCAAGTTTGAGGCTATCTTGAGCTACATAGTGAGATTGTCTTAAAAAAACAAGAGTTGCCTGGCACTGGTGGCTCTCACCTGTAATCCTAACTACTCAGGAGGCTGAGATCTGAAGAGCACAGTTCAAAGCCAGCCCAGGCAGGAAAATCCATGAGACTCTAATCTCCAATTAACCACCAGAAAACTGGAAGTAGCACTGTGGCTTAAGGTGGTATAACGTTAGCCTTGAGCAAAATAGCTTAGGGACAGCACCTAGGCCATAAGTTCAAGCCCCAGGACCTACCAAAAAACAAAATCAAGAGTTAAGACAGGCACCTGGTGGCTCATGATTATAATCCTAGCTACTCAGGTAGATGAAATTTGAGTATTGTGGCTAGAAGCCAGCATGGATGGACAAGTCTGTGAGAATCTATCTTCTTATAACCTCACCATGTTAGGAACTGACCAGCATAGAACATGTACTAAAAAGGAATCTTATCATCCAAATGAAAAACTGATTAGCATTTATAATGTCTAGTAGTCAAAGAATTCTGAAATTTTATTACATCCCAAGATGTTACTGGGCTCTTTTCTTTTGTTTTCTTGTGGTACCAGTACTGGGGCTTGGACTCAAGGCCTGGGCACTTTCCTTTATTCACTTGAGGCTGGCATTCTACTACTAGAGCCACAGCTCCAATTCTGACTTTTAAGTAGTTAAATTGAGATAGGATTTTGTCTGCCTGCCTGCCTGCCTACCTGTCTACCTGCCTGCTTGTCTGCTGGGACTAGCTTTGAACTGTGATTCTCAGATCTCAGTCTTCTGAATAGTAGGATTATAGAAGTGAGTGATCAGCACCTGGCATCACTGTACTCTTTAAAGGAGTAGGTTTTCTTTCAGGATAGTCTGTGTTGCAGTAGAATAAGTAAATAAATAGCATTCATTTAATTGTTCTTTTTTTGCCCAGGCTCTTCCAGGTCAGCAACACTGTTATTTCCTCAACAAAGATGCTCCTCTTCCAGATGGACGAAGTCTACAAGGAACACTGGTTAGCAAAATCACCTTTCAGCATCCTGGCCGAGTTCCTCTTATCCTCAATATGATTAGACATCAAGTGGCCTATAATACCCTAATTGGAAGCTGTGTCAAAAGAACTATTTTAAAAGAAGGTACTCCTATTCTGTTTTATATTCTTACTAGAAGATGGACACTGATTATTCTAGTTGTTCTTTAATTTGGTGAGCCAAGTCAACTATGGTATTGCCCACGTGTAGTCCCAGCACTGAGGAAACAGAAACATGAGTACCCTCTTAAAAAAGCAAGGGCCTGCCAGGCACCAGTGGTTCATGCCTATAATCCTAGCTACTCAGAAGAATGAGATCTGATTATCACAGTTCAAAGCCAGCCCAGGCAAAAAATCTGTGAAACTCTTATCTCCAGACTACCAAAAAGCCAGAAGTAGAGCAGTAGCACAAATGGTATTACACTGGCCTTGAGCAAAATTACTCAGGGACAATGTCCAAGACCTGAGTTCAAGGCCCAAGACTAGTTTTTTAAAAAAAAAAAAGGACTAGGGATTTTGTTAAGAATTCTTGCCCAGAATGCTCAAGGCTTTAAGATCAAGTCCTGCAAACAAATCAGAATAAAAACTTCAGGAACTTGGTAGCTATTGAAACTCTTGTGGAAAGAAAACTCCAGATGTTTTGATTTCTACACCTAGATGAACTGAGTTAGAGTGCCAATGCAAGGAATTGGGAATTTAACCATCCAAATGGTTTTGATAGGAGCAACAGTTTGTGTTCAATTTGACATTAATTGGTTAGTGGAAATAAAGTGAGATTTCTTGATGGCTAAATATTAGGTTGTTAGGACAGTGTCTAGTTCTTTGCATATGTTTCCCTCTACTCTTTAGAGAACTATATCATATAGCATCAAAACAGTGAGATCTAGGCCAGGTGCTAGTAAGTTTGAAATTTAAGGATCATAGTTGAAGCTAGGCTAGATAGGAAAGTCCATGAGACTCTTATCTCCAATCAGAAGTGGAGCTGTGGTTCAAGTGGTAGAGTGTCAGCCTTAAGCCAAAACAGTAAGGGGAGAACACACAGGATTTGAGTTGAAGGCCAGTATTGGCATGCACAAAAAGTAAGACCTTATACTCTTCTGTTTTTCTTTTAGTATTCTGAAACTTGAAAGAATTTTTTAGTCAGTTTGTTATTTAGAAGGTTTGCTGAAAATTTTAGCTATTCTAGCTAATGATAGTTAAATTTTTTTGTCAGTTGTAGGGTTTGAACTCAGGGCCTGGGCACTATCCCTGATATCTTTTGCCCAAGGCTAGAGCTCTACCACTTTGAGCCACAGCACCACTTCTGGTTTTCTCGTGGTGAATTGGAGATAAAAGTCTCATGGACTTTCTGCACAGGCTGGCTTTGAATAACAATACTCAAGTCTGAGCCTCCTGAGAAGCAGGAATACAGATGTGAGCCACAAGCACCTGGCCACAGTTAATTTTTTATCTTGGACTTAAAGCATTCCAATGTTAAATTATATATCAATGAAAATGGTAGGGAAGAAGAAACAGATTGTAAACCAGGAGAAAATTTTATGGTAGAAAGAAATGCTTTGGAAATGAGAATTTTTTTTGGGGGGGGGGTCTGGTTGTGGGGCCTGAACTCTGGGCCTGGGCACTGTCCCTCAGCTCTTTAACTTAAGGCCAGCGCTCTACCACTTGAGCCACAGTGCCACTTCCGGCATTTTTCTCTTTGCTTATGTGGTGCTGAGGAATCAAACACAGTGCCTCATGCATGCAAGGCAATTGCTCTACCACTGAGCCACCTTCCCAGCCCCCAAGAAATGAGAATTTTTTGAGAAAATAATAACATTGATCAAGCAAACTGTAGTTCTTGTACTACATGTGTTTGAATCCTACAAGAATTCTCTAAATAGCTCAGAGTTTGAAAGTTGGTTTTCACCAAGTAGTCATAGAACTAACTCTATAGAGATGTGTGATTCCCCCTCCCCTCATGAAAGTATGTGATCCTTCTGTCTGGACTTTAAGAATATATGGTTAAGCTGGGCCTCAGTGGTTCACACCTGTAATACTAGCTACTCCGGAGACTGAGATCTGAGGATCGTGGTTCAAAGCCAGCCCAGGCAGGAAAGTCCATGAGACTCTTATCTCCAATTAACCACCAGAAAACCAGAGGTGGTGCTGTGGCTCAAGTGGTAGAGCACTCAACTTGAGCTGAAGAGCGCAGGGACAGCACCCAAGCCCAGAGTTGAAGCCCCATGACCGACCAAAAAAAATCTTTTTTTAATAAAATAAATTTAAAAAATACATATATAGGGCTGGGAAGGTGACTCAGTGGTAGAGCGCTTGCCTTGCATGCCTGAGGCCCTGGGTTCGATTCCTCAGCACCACATAAGCAAAAAGAAAAAAAACAGAAGTGATGCTGTGGCTCAAGTGGTAGAGTGCTAGCCTTGAGCTGAAGAGCTGAGGGACAGCGCTCAGGCCCAGAGTTCAGGCCGCATGACTGGACCCCCCCCCAAAACAATATATATATATATATATATATATATATATATATGGTTAAAAAACCAAAGTTTAAAGTTGGGCATCAATGGCTCATGCCTGTAGTCCTGGCTACTCAGTAGGCTGAGATCTGAGGTTTGGGGGTTCAAAGCTAGCCCAGACAGAAAAGTCTATGAGACTCTTTTTTTATTTTTATTATTTTGCCAGTCCTGGGCTTGAACTCTGGGCCTGGGCACTATCCCTGAGCCTCTTTTTGCTCAAGGCTAGTGCTCTACCATTTGGTTCTCACTGACTTTCCTGCCCTTGGCTGGCTTTGAACTTCATCCTCACATCTCAGCCTCCTCCTAAATAGTTAGGATTATAGGTGTGAGCCACCAGCCCCCAGATCTTGAGATTCCTTGTCTCCAGTAAACAATTCAGAAAAAGGTGGAAGTGGTGCTGTATCTCAGTGGTAGAGTGCTAGCCTTGAGTACAATGAGGCTCAGGGACAGTGCCCAGGCCTTGAGTTCAAGCCCCAAGAATGACTAATTAATTAATTAAACACATGAAAAGAAAACAAAGATTGGAGGTTGAGTTCTAGCTCAGCGGTAATGCACAAGTCATCATGTGCATATCTATAATCCTAATACTTGGGAATGCTGAGGTAGGAGGATTGAGTTCCAGGCCAGGTGACAGTGGTTCACCCACTTCCAGACAAGGTAGGGCAGAAAGTTTAGGAGTCTCTGAATCCTGAACCACTTAGTGGGCATGTTGAGGTGCTCCTGTTATTATCCCAGCTTTGTGGGAGGCTAAGATCAAGATTATTTTAATTCCAGGCTAATCTGAGGAAAAAAGTTCACAAGACTCCATCTTGACAGAACAGGGTGTATGTGTGGCATATACCTGTCATCCTAGTTATAGTGTAAAGGCTAAAATCAAGGACCAGGAGGCTTGGCAAAAATCAGGACTCAATCTCAAAAATAACCAGAGCAAATGGCCTAGAAGTGTGGCTTAAGCAGTGTAGCAATTACCTAGCAAATGTGAAGGCCTGAGTTCAGAAGTTCCTGGCCAGCCTGGGCATATAGCAGATTCACTGGGGTATGCAGCAAGAGTATGTCTCAAAAACAACTTAATAAATGAAAATAAAACCAGGACTAAAGTTTAGCTTAGCAATAGTGTGCTTGGCTAGTAAGTGCAAAGTCCTGGGTTTAATGCTAAGGACTACAAATAACAATAAACAACCTATAATGATAGTTAAATGTATGTGTTTAAATACATCATCTTGAATTATATAGCCTTGACATGTGTCTGCTTACCAATTCAGTGCCATTAAGATAGTGGCACTCTACTGGAAAAGGGCCAGTGCTACTTTGAATAACTTTGGACTGTATAGCCAACAGCTGTAAACACTGATAGAAAACAGGGTTTGTGGTAGTAGTTCTGAATGGCTGCTTATCAAATAGAATGAAAATTTTTTAAGAGCCAGTTGTAGTAGCACATACCTATAATCCCAAGCCAAGCTGAGCAAGACCCTATCTCAAAACAAAATAAAATAATACTGCTTATGTTTTCAGAGTACTTTTTGCTAGTTAACTGGAGATAAGAGTCTGATGGACCTGCCTGCCTAGTTTGGCTTGGAACTTTGATCCTCAAATTTCAGCCTCCTGAGTAGCTAGGATTACAGGCATAAGCCACTGGCCCCAGGCTACTTCTGGCTTGTTAATTGGAGATGAGAGAGTCAGGGACTTTTTTTTGCCTAGACTGTTTTCATACTGGGATTCTCAGATCTCAGACTCCTGAATTGCTAGGAGTGCCCATCTGGCTGTTTTATCAGATATCCTTTTCTTAGAAAATTGAAAGTTCAGCCTGGGAATGTGGCTCAGTGGTAGAGTGCTTGCTTCACATGCATGAGGCCCTGGGTTCAAATTCCTCAGCACCACATAAGCAGAAAAACCGGAAGTGGGTGCTGTGGCTCAAGTAGTAGAGTGCTAGCCTTGAGCTGAAGAGCTAAGGGACAGTGCCCAGGCCAGTTCAAGTTCCAAGACTCACAAAAAAAAGAAAAAAAAAAAAAGAAAATTGAAAGTTCCATTACTTTTTTGTTCTGGAGAAATGTATAATAAATGGCAATTTATTGGAATCTGATTTCTTCTATTTGTGGGCTACCTAGTTTCCAAGAAGGGAAAAAAAAGTTCATTATTCACTTGTTCTATGTCATATATTTTGTTCATTTTATGATCTTTTTGTACCTTTTAGATTGTCCTGGGCTTCTTCAGTTTGAAGTATGTCCCCTCTCAGAATCCCGTTTCAGTGTATCTTTTCAGCACCCTGTGAATGATTCCCTGGTGTGTGGTGAGTTGTTTGGGTACAAATCCTTTTGGGAGCAGTTTCATCCTTGTATCACTTCGAAGGTCAGAAACTGAGTGTATCACACCTATTTCCTCAAAATTTTGTCTTGCAGTGGTAATGGATGTGCAGGACTCAACACATGTCAGCTGTAAACTCTACAAGGGACTGTCAGATGCACTCATCTGCACAGATGACTTCATTGCCAAAGTTGTTCAAAGGTAGCACTGGCCCTTGTCCATCAGAGTATCATTAATATATCTATCTATAAATAAGTTGCTTTTAGTACTAGAATGAATTACAAATAAAGGAGAAAAGAAATTGGTCATTGCTTTGAATTCACTTTTCTCTGCTTTTGATTTAAAAATAAACTGAGCTTTTTGTTTTTTTTAAGTATAATGAAAGTACTAAGAAAAAAGGTAGGTAACTTCAGGCCTTGTATGGGTGTTACTTCAAGGTGACAGAAAGGAAATAATACTGTTTGTTTCCTTTTCTTTACCCAATGTCATTTGCTACTTTTTTTTTTTTTTTTGGAAGTCCTGGGGCTTGGACTCAGTGCCTAGGCAATGTCCCTGAGCTTTTGCTCAAGGCTTGCACTCTACCATTTGAGCCACAGCATCACATCTGGCTTTTTCTGTTCATGTGGTACTGAAGAATTAAATCTGGGGCTTCACGCATGCTAGGCAAGCACTCTACCATTAAGCCACAATTCCAGCCCTCATTTGCCACATTTTAACAACCATGTTAAATGTCAGTGTATGAGGAGATGCATTAGACACTTTAATAATATTGATAATGTTTTTCTAATTCAGTAGCTGTTGTCCTAATTTTGTAAGTTTTATTGGAACACTGCTGTGACAGCTTTCAAGCTAAGATGGCATAGTAATTCGACAAAACTTCTATGATTAATAATGCTGCCAATATTACTGTCTGACTTGATAAGAAAAAGTTTGCTAGGGGCTCATGTGTCTAACCCCAGCTACTCCAGAAATGAAGATCAAAAGGGTTGTGTTTAAGACTAGGATCTTTTCAGTCCAGAACTTTGCTTGGTGATGAGCACCTTTCACCTCAGCTTCATGGGAGGTCCCAGGTAGGAGATTACAGTCTAAGGCCCTTCCAGGACAAAAAAAAGAAAAATAGAGAGGCCTTACCTGAAAAACAACAAGCTAAAAAAGGCTAGGAGTGTAGCTCCAGTGATAGAGTACCTGCCTAGCAAATGTGAAATACTGGCTCAACTATCAGTACCACCAAAAAAAACAGAAAAATAAGGAAAAAGAAAAAAGGAAAGTTTACTGATATATATTTATCTGGGAGATAAATGTGGTTTGTTTATGGTTTATGTTTCATAAGAATCAGCAACTACCTACCAGTCAGATTCTTTTTAAATAAATCTGCCCAAAACTATTCTTGTATTACAGAATATTTGCCTTAACCTGAAAACTACTTAGTGCAAACTAATATTGACTTACCTAAATCTAAGCCAAAATTTGAGCTTGTTTTCCTTAATGAAACAATTGGTTTTGGGAAGTATAGAAGTGTTGCTCAAATGGTAGAGCATAAGCTTTGAACAAAAGGTCAAGGGAGAGCAGGAATCCCTGAGTTCTAACCCCATTTTTGTAATTTCATAAATTTATTGGCTTTGGGATGGGAGTATGGCTCAAGTGATTAAAGTACCTATCTGGATCCAACCTCAGAAAAACTGATTTTTTTCCAGCAGGTAGGGGAATGTTAACTTTGTTTTTTCCATCTTATCTTACAGGTGTATGTCCATCCCTGTGACGATGAGGGCTATTCGGAGGAAGGCTGAAACCATTCAGGCTGACACCCCAGCTCTGTCCCTCATTGCAGAGACAGTTGAAGACATGGTGAAAAAGAACCTGCCCCCGGCTAGCAGCCCAGGGTATGGCATGACCACAGGCAACAACCCAATGAGTGGTACCACTACACCAACCAACACCTTTCCGGGGGGTCCCATTACCACCTTGTTTAATATGAGCATGAGCATCAAAGATCGGCATGAGTCGGTGGGCCATGGGGAGGACTTCAGCAAGGTGTCTCAGAACCCAATTCTTACCAGTTTGTTGCAAATCACAGGGAACGGGGGGTCTACCATTGGCTCGAGTCCGACCCCTCCTCATCACACGCCGCCACCTGTCTCTTCGATGGCCGGCAACACCAAGAACCACCCGATGCTCATGAACCTTCTTAAAGATAATCCTGCCCAGGATTTCTCAACCCTTTATGGAAGCAGCCCTTTAGAAAGGCAGAACTCCTCTTCCGGCTCACCCCGGATGGAAATGTGCCCGGGGAGCAACAAGACCAAGAAAAAGAAGTCATCAAGATTACCACCTGACAAACCCAAGCACCAGACTGAAGATGATTTTCAGAGAGAGCTGTTTTCAATGGATGTCGATTCACAGAACCCAATCTTTGATGTCAACATGACAGCTGACACGCTGGATACGCCACACATCACTCCAGCTCCAAGCCAGTGTAGCACTCCCCCAACAACTTACCCACAACCAGTACCTCACCCCCAACCCAGTATTCAGAGGATGGTCCGACTATCCAGTTCAGACAGCATTGGCCCAGATGTAACTGATATTCTTTCAGACATTGCAGAAGAGGCTTCTAAGCTTCCCAGCACTAGTGATGATTGCCCACCCATTGGTACCCCTGTTCGAGATTCTTCAAGTTCTGGGCATTCTCAGAGTGCACTCTTTGACTCTGATGTCTTTCAAACTAATAATAATGAAAATCCATACACTGATCCAGCTGACCTTATTGCAGATGCTGCTGGAAGCCCCAGTAGTGATTCTCCTACCAATCATTTCTTTCCTGATGGAGTAGATTTCAATCCTGATTTATTGAACAGCCAGAGCCAAAGTGGTTTTGGAGAAGAATATTTTGATGAAAGCAGCCAAAGTGGGGATAATGATGATTTCAAAGGATTTGCATCTCAGGCACTGAATACTTTAGGGGTGCCAATGCTGGGAGGTGATAATGGGGAGACAAAATTTAAAGGCAATAGCCAGGCTGACACAGTTGATTTCAGTATTATATCAGTAGCTGGTAAGGCTTTGGGTCCTGCAGATCTTATGGAGCATCACAGTGGTAGCCAGAGTCCTTTATTAGCCACTGGGGACTTAGGGAAAGAAAAGGCTCAAAAGAGAGTCAAGGAAGGCAATGGCACCAGTAATAGTAGTCTGTCAGGCCCAGACAGTAAGCCAGGAAAACGCAGCCGGACCCCTTCTAATGATGGGAAAAGCAAAGATAAGCCTCCAAAGCGGAAGAAGGCAGACACTGAGGGAAAGTCTCCATCTCACAGTTCTTCTAATCGACCTTTTACTCCACCTACCAGTACTGGTGGGTCCAAATCTCCAGGCAGTTCAGGAAGATCTCAGACTCCCCCAGGTGTTGCCACACCACCCATTCCCAAAATCACTATTCAGATTCCTAAGGGAACAGTAATGGTGGGCAAGCCCTCTTCTCACAGTCAGTATGCCAGCAGTGGTTCTGTGTCTTCCTCAGGCAGCAAAAGCCACCATAGCCATTCTTCTTCCTCTTCATCTGCTTCCACTTCAGGCAAGATGAAAAGCAGTAAGTCAGAAGGTTCATCAAGTTCTAAGTTAAGCAGCAGTATGTATTCTAGCCAAGGGTCTTCTGGATCTAGTCAGTCCAAAAATTCATCCCAGTCTGGGGGGAAGCCAGGCTCCTCTCCTATTACCAAACATGGACTGAGTAGTGGCTCTAGCAGCAGCAAGATGAAACCTCAAGGCAAGCCATCATCACTTATGAATCCTTCTTTAAGTAAACCAAACATATCCCCCTCTCATTCAAGGCCTCCTGGAGGTTCTGATAAACTTGCCTCTCCAATGAAGCCTGTTCCTGGTACTCCCCCATCCTCCAAAGCCAAGTCCCCTATCAGTTCAGGTTCTGGTGGTTCTCACATGTCAGGAACTAGTTCAAGCTCTGGCATGAAGTCATCTTCAGGGTTAGGATCCTCAGCCTCACTGTCCCAGAAAACTCCCCCATCATCTAATACTTGTACAACATCTTCCTCTTCATTTTCCTCAAGTGGCTCTTCCATGTCATCTTCTCAGAACCAGCATGGAAGTTCTAAAGGGAAGTCTCCCAGCAGAAACAAGAAGCCATCCTTGACAGCTGTCATAGATAAGCTGAAGCACGGGGTTGTCACCAGTGGTCCAGGGGGTGAAGATCCAATGGATGGTCAAATGGGGATGAGCACAAATTCTTCGAGCCATCCCATGTCCTCCAAACATAACATGTCAGGAGGAGAGTTCCAGGGCAAGCGTGAGAAAAGTGATAAAGACAAATCAAAGGTTTCCACCTCTGGGGGGTCAGTAGATTCTTCTAAGAAGACTTCAGAGTCAAAAAATGTAGGGAGCACAGGTGTGGCAAAAATTATCATCAGCAAGCATGATGGTGGCTCCCCCAGCATAAAAGCCAAAGTGACTTTGCAGAAACCTGGGGAAAGTACTGGAGAAGGGCTAAGGCCACAGATGGCCTCTTCCAAAAACTATGGCTCTCCAATGATAAGTGGTTCCACTCCAAAACATGAACGTGGCTCTCCCAGCCATAGTAAGTCGCCAGCATATACCCCCCAGAATCTGGACAGTGAAAGTGAGTCAGGGTCCTCTATAGCAGAGAAATCTTACCAGAACAGTCCCAGTTCAGATGATGGCATCCGACCACTTCCAGAATACAGCACAGAGAAGCATAAGAAGCACAAAAAGGAAAAGAAGAAAGTTAAAGACAAAGATAGAGACCGGGACAAAGACCGAGACAAGAAAAAGTCTCATAGCATCAAGTCAGAGAGTTGGTCTAAATCACCGATCTCTTCAGACCAATCCTTGTCTTTGACAAGTAACACAATTCTGTCTGCAGACAGGCCTTCAAGGCTAAGCCCTGAATTTATGATTGGGGAGGAAGATGATGATCTTATGGATGTGGCTCTGATTGGCAGTTAGGAACATTATTTTCTAAACAGATATGGCCAGGGAGGAACTAACGTTTATATGTAAACCAACACAAAGGGGTGACTCAGACAGGTCTGATTTATGTTTGGGTGGAAAAAGGCATAGCTTTGATACTAAGCCAAGTGAATTTAGAAAGGTATATTCAGACCCTATTAAAGAGATCCCATGGTTTGATAATACCAATAGTTTCTATTCCTCTGCCAGGAAGAACATGTTAAAAATACTTGCTTAGGAAAGGGACAGGGAGAGGGAAGGGTGGGAAAACAGTTTAGTGGGAAATACTCATTTTTCTCCCTCTTTTAGGCCCTTATTAGGCCATGTTTTGAACACATTTTAGTGCATGCATTTAAGGGCTGGGCAGAAAATGAAAAAGCAATACATTCCTTGATGCATTTGCATGAAGGTGGTTCACCTTTGGGTAGTTGTCCATTTGAGGCATGGACACTGAAAGACATTTGTCATGTTGGACACAAGCAATGTCTGGTGTCAGAAGTGATTGAGGGAGAGATGATGATTTTAACTATTTATTTGTAATATTTTAACCCTTTTATGTTTTTATGCAGTGTTTCTAAATCTATGAGGCTTAGGGTTCACGATGATGGGAAGCAAGGTTTATTGGTGATTAGAGAGCTTATTGCTTGGGCTTGATACTACAGCATTAAGCCCAAATAGTAGTCAGAGCCCACCTTTGGAGTTACATAGAGAAACCAAAAATTATTTTAGGAAGTTTTTCATAGAGTTCATACATCATAGGAATAAATACTAGGAGTTACCTCCCTGTGGAGGTGATTGATTTATAATCCTTTTCCTTTTAAAAAAGGTAGGGTGTCTTTGGGATTTAAACATGTATTCAGATATAGTAAGGTGTGATGTGGGACAGCCTTCCTGAACCAGTGGCATGAAAATCTTTACAGAATTAATAGTTCTCCTATTTCCACAATGTGCCAAAAGTCTGCATCTCAGCATTTATTTGCAGGAGAACTGATGCCATTCCTAAGAGCTGGGCTCTTTGTCTCTCTGCACCACAAGGAGGAGTTCAGACTTTAATACTTACTTCACTGTAGTGCTCCCTGAGATAAAACAGTAAAAAGAATTTGCAGCCATAGTTCACTTAAAACGATTTCAAGCTCACTTAAATAATGGGGGCCTGGAATGCTTGTGAGCATGAAGATAAACCCTTGCTACTGTGTAGCAATACAATTGGACCTTTTTGGAAAACAGGTCTGACTCTGGATTCTGGGGGACATCAATAAGAAGCCCTTCTCATAAATATAGAAATCCAGGAGACCATTTGAGTACAACAGAAGTTCTCAGTATTTGGAGGGTCCTCTCAAAATTCTGCGGCCTTACTTTGATTTTGACACCTGCACTGTGCCATTCCTGATGATTCCATTCAGGATCTCTATCTGCGGGGTGGGGCATAATCCCCAGCACAACTCTTCCGGATTAGAAACAAACAAAAAAAAAGCCAGATGATTCATGTGTGTGTGTGTGTGTCATAAATGGAATGACTTCATCAGATGTGGAAGAAGATTATATTCAACCGTTTCTACAGGTTGGAGTTAGCATAGAATTGGAAAATCCACTTTGGCTTTCTTTCCCAACTGTCTCATTTCCTCCAGTGTTCCTTTCTTGGTCATCAGCTCTGCCACTTTTATGTCCCAAGGTAATAAGTCGGAAATGAAATGTTGCAAAGTGGAACAAGTTATCAGTTACTGTATCAGTCAAATTTCTTGGGTGACACTAAGGAGGACATGGGCAAGGTGCTTTATCTTGTGATGCTTATACAGTAGCAGTCTCAGACATAACAACTGAGTTGGATTTCTCACAAGTATCATCTAGTTTTGAATCCTGTCCCATTTGTTTTTGCAGGAAAACTAAAAAGTTACATGGTTTTTAAGTTCTGGGTGGGGAAAAGCTTGTAGAAAACATACTGCATAGTATCAGGGGTTCAGCTCCTCCAAGCAGAGCCAACAAATACCAGAATGAGTAAACTGGGAAGCTTTTTCACCTTTCCGTCTTCATACCAGATCAGAGAATCCCAAGATAGGATCTGGATGAAGGATAAACCCCTGAAATGTTGACGGGCACACCCCACACACTGACCCAACATCTGCATTTGCTTAACAGGGAGCTGGGGCTAAACTGTTTCACCCTGCTTGAGAACCAGGGAGCACTGCATTTCTCCACAGGGTGGAGGAGAAGAGGCAGAATAAACCAAGCCTGGGAACCTCCCTCCTATCTAGGTGTACTCACTCTCCTGTTTCAAAAGACAACAAGGATATGAAGTCAACTTCTACCTATCTTTTGCTGCTGGTGTCTTATATATTAGTTTGACCTGATTATTCTGTCGTTTGGCTTCATATTGGGGATTCTTCGTCAAAATCTGTTCTGATGTATATGAAGATTTCAGATTCAAATTCAGTGTGTCTTAAAACAGTGTTTTCAGGGTGGGAAGGGCTGAAACTGGATAAAATTGTTGCCAAAAAAAAAAAAAGAGGTTGATGACTCTTGAAAAGGATTTTCCTTCTCCAGGCCAAGGTCTGAAAATCTAGTGCAGCCATATCATGAACTTTCTGAAGAACCCTTTCAGGGAGCCAGTGATTCATACAGTATCCACACACTTGAATCACAGCAGATACCAGTTTAGGAAACATTCATAATCCCTTGGCAATCTTATTTTCCCCCTTTCATTTCTATCTCTGCTCCGTGTTTCTATCTTTCAGTTTGTTTTGGAGGAGCAGCAGGTGTTTCGTATCTCAGAAGCTAGTTTAGAAATTAATGCTCAACTAAATGGTGAGCTTTAAATTCTGTGTTTAAAATGCACATCAGGAGCAGTGGGGAGGGCTTTTCTAAAAAGGAATCAAGTTTGATTGTGTGTACGGCAGTTCTGTAAATATTTTGGGTTTTCTGTTTTCATTTTTTGAAAGTAGACAAAATCTGTGGGAATTTTTTCCTGAAACATTAAAAAAAGTGTTTATTTACATGCAAATAAATTTCTTTGATAAAATTAATATGGCTACTATGTGTGATGAAATTTTGACCTGTGAATACTTTTCATTTGTTCAGCTTTTCAGAAATCAAAGTTTTTTTAAAAATTAACTCACCTTAGTATCACACTAAATGAGTCCACAAAAGACCTGTGAAAATTGTTTTCATTACATTTGACTTAGTGTGCCAATTTTTATACTTTGTGTACTTACTTTAGGTAAGACTAAATTTGAAGGCTAGAGAGAATACTTGGGATCAGAGAATATAGTAATATAATATGGAATTGAGAAATGAGTTTTCTTTTTTGTCTCCCTCTCTCCCTCTCCCTTTTGAACTTCATCTCCCTGCCTGCCTACCTGCCTGCCTGCTTGCCTGCCTGCCTGCCTGCCTGCCTGCCTGCCTTCCTTCCCTTCCTTCCTTCCTTCCTTCCTTCCTTCCTTCCTTCCTTCCTTC